TGGTTTTGCTTAAATATGTGTTTTACAAATATAAGAAACTGTTAAAAGGCCAGCTTTGATCTTTCATTTTTCATAAGCTTCACATTCAGATAGAAAATGTTAAATGGGCTATGGACTGCCTACCAGAAGTGTTACTTTCTTTCTTTATCTTATCTCCTGTCAGAATAGGCTGCTGAACTTGGTGTTAGTAAGACAGAAAAACTTGCTAGTGAATTTGAGTAAGAATTAATACGTATATTGCTTTTTAAATGTCAGATTTGTACTTTTATGCAAATGCAAGCTTTAACGGTCTGCCTGTCTGTATCATTTTCTCCTGGAATGACACTTTAATAGTTTTCCTGGTTGGACTGTGTTAAAATCTTTAAAGGCTGCATTCACTAAAACATATGTCTAACATTTGGGCAGCCAATGTCTGTAATAATCATTTTAACAGTATAACTTATCCCCTCTGTATTACCACAGATACATTATTGTTAAAGCTACATTAGTATATGTATTTTGAACTATTCTGAACTATGTCACATGATTCTTAGAGATGTACATAACTTACATGCTTCAGTTAAAATTGAGTTAAATTTTTATTTATTGATTGATTTTGGTACTGGTGATCGAACTCGTGTCCTTGCACTTGCGAGGCAGGCCACTGAACTGCTGAGCTAAATCCCTGGCCCTTGAGTTAAATTTTTTAAAAGCTACATTAAAGTATCATTAAATTAGAATCTTATTTCATAGTTAAAGACATTTTTGGATATGTAGAGTATACTGTTACACTAGTTTGAAAATGCATATTGCCAAGAAAGCAATAGCATAAATTTAAAAACATAGCCTATATCAACAATTTGTTGTAATCTATTTTTTGTCCATTTAGCCATTTTGTTGTATTTGCCATGTTCAGAGCATTGTGCTAGATGTCCTGCATAGACAGTTTTAATTTGTCACCACTAATGAAGTCATGTATAGAGAGTGGACAATGGGGAAACATCACCAAGCGACCAACCAGAAATAAATGATCTTCAACGTTCCACCCAGAAGGGGTGTTGTGATACGTATTGTTGGCAGTGTCCTATGTTCAAGATTGGAATTTTGTTTGCTTCTCTTACAATGGAATGCTGTTGCTGCTTGGGTCAAAAAAGTGACTTTTGATATGGTGAGAAAACTAGACTTTCAGGATAGTTTATAAAATTTTCTTGAAAGATTTTCAAAAGTCCTTGAAAGAATAAAGTGATTGTTTTGAAGTGTGAGACAGAGAGCAGTTATTCATAGACCAAATCTTTAATTGGCTTAGCTTTCCTGCTGCCATTTGACTCCTCCAACTCATTGGTTCTCCGTGTACCATAGGCCAGGGTCCAGGAGCAGTTCTCACTGGTGAAAAGTAGGAGAAGCTGATATGGAAAATCCAGTCTTATGTGATCTTTGCTGGCTTTGATTGGTTCAACTTTCATATTGACGAGTTGTTTAAACACTCAAAATTTTCTTTTCAGGGAGAGAAATTAATTTCAGAATAAAACTTGAAAATTTTAAAAATTATTTTCTTCCAAAAAAGGAACTTTCAAGTGCTATTAGTTTTTACATCTATTATTGTTTATTTTTAAAAAAATTAATGGTAATTCACATTGAAAAATACCATATTTTTACTATCTAAATATATCAAAATTCTAAATTTGGATAGACAAATGTCGTTCCATTTGTATATTATTTTGCCTAGATGTGCAAATGTTTAAAGCCTGTGGTAGTTGACAAAATCTCATTTGATCAAAATATCAGGATACCTAATTCAGTTACACTGAATTGAAAGAATAACATTCTCTTTAGTCTTGTAAATATATAATGATTTCATTATAACAATGTTAATAAAGTATTAATTGCCAAATTTTATAAAAAAAGGAATCCTTAGGAATTTTAGTAAGTTAAAATTATAAATGACAAAATCATATATCCTGCTATTCCCCAAAAAATGATTGAGCTGGAGCCGGGGATTTGGCTCAGTGGTTCTGCCACCTGCCTGGAAAGTGCAAGGGCTGAAGTTCAATCCCCACTACCAGAAAAAAAAAAAAAAAGTTTGAGCTGTACTGAGACTACAGTTTATGCTACTTCTCTGAGATTATGGCTGAACGACCTCAATACTATTTCTGTATTTCGGCTTTGCAGAATTTTGACCTAACTTTATTTTATACATTTAAAAGCTTTTTATATAACAGAGATCATCTTTAAGAAGAAAAATGAAATTTAAGGTCCTTCCATATTAAATGAAGCCTTGAACATAAAATTCACAGTGCAGAGCAAGCTGCATAGCGCTCTCTGAGGTAGTCATTTATAACTGGGATCATTACTTCTAACTTTGCACAGCACACCCTCTCATTTACTTATTTGTGCAGAGTGGCATGAAGTTGAAACTGTGATCACTTTCTGTTTTGTCTGCCCTCTAGTTCTTGTTGTTTTAGAATTTTTAGAATTACTCCCCTCAACAGAAAGAACAAACTGTTTGCTTGTTTGTTTGTTTGCAATACTAGGGATGGAACCCAGGACTTCTGATCTACATCCTCAGCCTTTTGTATTTTGTATTTCATATTTTGAGACGGAGGCTTACCAAGTTGCCCATACTTTTAAAAAAAAACTAATATACATATTTAAAGATATTAAAGAACTGCACTATCTCTCCTACCAAAATTTTGTTTTTATTTTACTTAGTATCCATTTGCTTGAGGTTTAAGTGAGGAGTTGGATGTGACCCTAACTAACCTGCTGTAGGTCTTATAAAGAGTAGAAGCGGAAGACTGACGCGTTAGGCTTTCAGTGCACCTATTTTGTTACTGAGGTCTGGGATTTTCCCATCCTGTAGTTTCTAGAGCTAGTTCTATGGTATCATTTTTAAAAAGTTGTTGTGGGGCCGGGGATTTAGCTCAGTGGTTCCACTGCCTACCTCACAAGCGCAAAGTCCTGAGTTCGACTGCCAGTACCAAAAGAAAAAGAAGTTGTTCTGATTCTTGAGATTATAATTATAGCACAATTTTCTGTATTAATTTAGGGGCTTTGTTTTTATCTTTATTTGTTTTACACTTAATGAGAATACTTTAAATAATCTAAAAGTACATAAAGTAAAAGTGCCTTCTGTATACTACCGTTAGTATCATTTCATGTGAGAAAAGATTTTTGGTATTAGAATGAATCTGTGTAGATATTTATACATTGGCTCAATATTATGTACGTGTTGAAAAAATATGTTTATTAGTGTTCCCACTTTCATGGTGGTTATTTTTCACAAAAATGAGATTATACTGTCTAGCAACTTGATTATTTTACCACTTGACTTAAAAAAGACATCTTTCCATGTCCACACTCTTTTTCATGGCTGCATAATGCTCTACTGGATAAATGTACTTTGGTATATTTAGCCATTTCCTCACTGAAGGACACTTAGAAAGTGTCCACACTTAAGCCACTGATATATCATGTTGCACAAAAACCCAAAATTAGAAGCTTTTTTCCTGGTTCTCTGCTAAGTTTCCCTACGTCTCTACAGACTGCAATAAGCATCAGCCTATATGCCTGATTACTTGTTGGCTTTCAGGGATCATTCTAAAAAGTTGTCATTTGGTCTTGGATAGGCTTGAGCTCAGATAATAACGGACCAATTACTTGTGTGGGGTTTTAGGGTAAAAGCAGCATTTTTACAGAAGTTTCTTCTTTCTGCCTGGTAGAAATTTAAGATGTACCATACAGCTTGGATGGGTATTGGCTATTTCATCTTTTAATATTGGCAGCATTCTGAGTTTCAGAGCTTTATAAAAGTCCCGATTGTCAGATCTTTTCTTTAATAGATTAAAAGAAAACATCTTTTAGAGAATATTTTGAAAACATTTTATTTTTATTTTGGGGCATTTATTAATCTTTCAATATTTTTTATCTAGGTACATTGAAATTTCATTTGTGGCTTTTACAAGTGCCTTAATTCATCCTAACACAAAAAGCTAAATACCAATATTCCAAAGTTAACATTTCATTGGAAGTGGGTGGTGTTCATTAAGGTGTTAATAAAAATTTTACATTCTTCAGTGCTATTCCTGTAGTAGATGCAGTAATTTATTTGTGTCATGGCTACTAGCCATATCCTGGGTTGAATATCTACTGGCCAGAAGTGTGGAATGCTCTTTAATTGAGTAGAATGAATAATTGCATGGAATGAATAAAATATTTTGTTTTAGACACATATTTTTACGTGGAAGATTTCATCTTATTTTCATAAAATAGTAACACTTTAAGAAAGGTGGTAACAAATTGTTAGAAAACTGGAGAAGAAATTACCACCTTTCTGTGGTAATATGATAACTTTTCAGTGTATTTTAAACAGTAACTTGCTGTTGATTTTAATAGTTTTCCTCTCAACACAGGTGGTATCCTGCTATGATATCATAGCTATACTTTTTGATTTATTATTATGCCGAGTGTGCTATGCACGATGTGCATAACCACTTTCAAAAAGACTGAGTAGACTTTGTTTTTGTGACATATTCCATGTTAAAATGGACCTATGTTCATTATACAGATTTTAGTGCACATTTACTAAGATGGTCATAATCCTTTTATTTTCATAATAGTTTATTTCAAGGTTTCCTCAAATATATAATATCTTGACATTTTCCTTTGATACAAGCTTTTAGTGGTATTTTTGTTTTCCTTTTCCACAAAACTTGAGTTTCCTAAGACTACTGTTATTTATATGAAAATAAAAATGCAAAAGCACTTTTACTCTTCAATATGAAGAAAAGTTTGATGCTGAAATATTAACAGGAAATAATTTTATGACACAAAAATATCTAAACAGGACACAAATCAGAAGATTGTCCAGTTGAGAGGGAATTGAAACTTGTGAGGTGTAAAACTGATTTGCTGATTTTGCTTTATTGGTTAAATTTAAGCAGTTTTGTTAGTGAATTAAACCTGTCAGCATATACTTGAAATCTGTATTGTTTTCAACAACAGGTTTCCTTTTTCTCTTTCAGTCTGTGATCAAAACAGGACGACTCTTAATCAGTCACGAGGCTCCCTTGACAGGTGGCTTTGCATCAGAGATCAGCTCCACAGTTCAGGTAAAATGAGTTGTTGGCATAGGCTTAACATTCGTGCAGTTGTATGTGTGTATTCCGGAAAGAAAACAAGTTAGTGATCACAGCATCTACAAGTATGCACTTTTTTGGAGCACACCTTTTCTATTCTGTGTTGTCTTTTAGCTAATAGTATGATGAAATTTAGAAAAGAAATTTAAATTAATAAAAGTGAAAAAACCTTTGTGAGAGGTCAAAGTGAAATGACTAATCAGCCATGCTTGTATTTGTTAAATGAACAAGAATACTCTTTTAAAGTTTAATCTAATGGTCTTCTTCACAAAATTTAAAGTTGAAATGATTTAGTTATAACATTAATCCTAGATTTTCATAGCTTCCACCTTCCATATCTGAATCTAGCAAAGTCAATAGTTAAATTCAATAATTATTTTTGAAAGTGATTTATTAGTGCAATCAATAATCAAGTCAAGTTATTGGCAATACTTTAAAAATGGCTTAAAAATTTAATTCTTTTTAAAATTGTTCCCCTCAGATGCTGCATATCAGGAGAAATGCTATACACCTCTTTTGAAAGGATTTTTACTTAAAACCCTTTTCACATTTGTATCATAGTTATGCATAATTTAAAGCAGTTCTGTTTTCCTCATTTTTAAAATTGAACATGAAATGTTTTAAATATATAGATAGTACAAGCATTTTACATCCAGAATATTTTTGCAGTTTACATTTTATCTCTCTTCACTGGTGTTAACGTGCTTTACTTATTAAGACATAGGAGTAGAGAATTCCTTTAAGAATTAGTGGCTTGTTAATTTGACATAAAATTATAATTGATGAGTAGTGATAAATTATTTTTATACATTTAACCAGTAAAAATGACTTTTACTAATAAAATATTTTAATTTTTAAGAAAATTAAATATATTTTAAATTAGATGAGGTACATTTAAACATAAATATGCCAAAACTAGATCAAAATAATAGTACTTTTATGTTATATATAATATTCATTGATGAAATTAAGAAAAATAAGCATGTTTTGTAATATGCCATTTTTCCTATTTAAGATCATTTAAATACCATGAGTATGAGGTATTTATTGTATATTTTATTGAGTCACATAACATACTAAATTATTTTTAAAATGAGAATTACAAGAATGAATCATTATAATACCAACATGTTAATTTCAAGCCAGAGGCAAAACTGGAAAAAGAAACTAGATTTTCTGATGCCTAGTTAATGTGGTGCACTGAACCATTTAAAATTATAATGACTGTTGCTAATAGAAACTCTGGCAACCTTGCTTCATTTTAGCCACTGACTGCTTATTGTCATATCAAAAGTTCATTTGCATGTAATTATAAGAGGGAAAACAATAGAATGTAGTTATAACTCCTTTTGTGAAGTTTGCTTTTATAATGTGATCTCCATAAATTATTGGTAAGCTGCAATTGAATATAACATGGTTTTTCGACTGAAAACAATACAGAAAGATGATCTAATGTATGGTAGTGTCTCTTGGTTTTGAATCATACTGCATAGACTCAGATTTATAGAAAAATGTCTCTGAGGCCTCATGAATACATTAGTGAATCTTTGTTTGAAAAATTATTAGCAGACACTAAAAATAGCTGATACCAAAAATCATAAATATAATATCAGAGTCAGATTCTAAATATAGGTGATGATAACTGGTGGTAAAAGTTGTCAGTGGGATTATCCAGAGTATAATCATATTTAAATTACAATATAAAGACACCAAAACAAGGCATTTTTTATACTCTCAGACTCCCAAGAACATGTCCATAGATCCTCAAATGTCCCCAGTCTGTAATTTGAGAAATATTGATCTTTACAAATGGTATTCTACTTTCTATGTGTGTTTGTCATTGAAAATGCCTGTTACCCACTTTATAAAGACAGGCTGATCTGGAACTTGTACAAGTGTCTGCATAAATGTTAAGTGTGTACACCTGCATTCCTTATTCAAAATCCATTGTCCCCTAAGAGGAAGACAGAAATTTTGTATTCTTTTATAAAGTTCTATTTTCTGTGATAAAATCACTGAACCAGCAAAACTTAAAATGATTTAGCAATACCGCAACATTTTTAAGGGGTCTTGCTTTTAACATTTTGGGTAATTAGAATTTTGATTTATTAATATGAAAGTGAATTTGAAAATGTACACAGTTGTTTTTGCTTAACTCAAATTTTATTTGCACAAATACCGGGTGCAGAAAATGATATTTAATGAACTTTATATTCCCAAATATTTGCCTTTTGTGCCTTTTATGTACTGATAAGGGATATTTTAAAAGTCTTTTTCATAGTAATGTTTATATATAACAGTAAGGAATCTGAATAAGATCTACTTTTCCGTGACTGTTTTGTGCACATAGTCACTAAATGCAGTATACTGTATGCAGCATTGTCTGCACGGCATCATCCCATAATATAAATAAAACCTCTATCAAATCACCCATGCCTTAGGCTGTATAAACTGAAGTGTGTGAGGTGCAGTTGCTTTGACTACTTGGAATGACTCGTCTTCCCATATGTATTTTTTTTTTTTTTTGCTTGCATATACCTTGTAATGTTAAAAAAAAGATAAAATAGAGTTAACATAATAAAAACCAACTTTCTGGGAGAACAGGGAAAGTGTACGCAAAGAAATTTTGTTGTCATGTTGGAAAAGAAGCTTGAAATTATGGGTGAGAATGATCTGTAAATCTGGGTACTGTTGATTAAAATATTGAGTTATTCTCATTGTAAATCAATGACTGTAGATTTCACGTAAATGTAAATAAAATCCACTACTTCAGGCATTATTTTGTAAAAGATATCTGGGAGGTGTTTTTTAAAGCTCCTATTTAAATTCTGTGAAATTGTTTTTGAAATAATATTGTAAGGAAATGGTTAGTAATTTTATATGAACTTCAAATCTAAGGACACTAAAAACCTGAAATACTGTTTTATTTAAATTTAAAATTATTACCCATGTTAAAAGTAAAATGGTGAGGAGCACTATAGAGGACATCTTTTTTACTTTATATTTGCTATTTTTAGAGAGAAAAATTATAATGTACTACCTAAAATTAAATATCAAATTAATGAACATTTTTACTTTGTGATAGTGTTATTGGTATTAATATCAAAAGATTCCTTTTAATCATAGAGATAAAATAGGAAAAGAAATAAAATATAGTCTCTGTATATAACTCTTTAATGTACAACAGATGGCTCTTCTATCAGACAAAGAGTTCAGTATCTAAATCTTAAGTTTCATCAGGCCTATTGCTTCTTCATACACCCATTATTTAAAAAATACATTGCTAGGGGCCGGGGATTTAACTCAGTAGCAACCAGCCTGCCTCACAAAAGCAAGGTCCCCAGTTCAATCCCTGGTACAAAAAAGGAAAAAAAAGAAAAAAAGACTGTCAGACATATATTATGTATACGTATATTATATAATGTTTATATAAATGGTAACAAAAATTTTTTAAGCCAGTACATTTAAGAACTGCTTTGCGTTTCTTGGGTTTAATTTGGAAGTTAACTGGGGAGCAGAACAAGCTGAGGTCTGTTGTATTTGCCCTGCTCTGGGAAACATTTCTTGGTTGGTCATCCAAAGCTTTACTGTCTCTTCCCATCTAATTTTACATTCCCATCTGTTCTCACTTTGGGGTAAGGAAACTTTCCTTTTTTTCTTTCATTTGACACATACTGAAACTTCAAATGCTGCTTGAAGCCATGCATGTGCACGCTGGTTTGTAGAAACATGCAGAGACAGCAGTTTAGGTAATTCATTGACCTTTTTATTGTATATGAATTTCATTGGTTCCAGAAATGAAGTAAATGAATTTTATGGTATGCTTGTATTCTTCACCTTTTTTATTATCATTGATTTTTAAAGCTTTTCTTTTACAAAGAAAACTTCATCAGTTTTAATATTAATTTGTATATTTTAGCATGCAGTGTTCAATACAAGTATTATCTACTTAAATGTTATGACCAAAAAATTTATGGTGTTTTAGCAACTTTAACGCAATTTCTTTAATCATTTTAGAGATCAACTTTTAGAGTTAATTTCTGATACATGATAAGCTGGTTTCTGATATAATTGTGTTATTTTTTTTTCTGGATTTAATGCTTAATAAGAGTGCCAAAGATTTTAGGAATTGTGGTTGGCTTAAAGGTTTGAGTTTTTTTGTTTTGTTTTGTTTTGTTTTTTTTCTTAAACACATGGAAGCAATAAGTCTGCAATAAAGAGTCCAATTGGAGAGGATGGTAAGTTTCCATACATTGTTTTATCCTCTCTGTGCGGTCTCTTTTCTGAGAATAAGAACTCAGAAAAGTATGCATTCCTACATATATTTTTAAGGTAATCAGGTTCTGATAGTTTAAAATGATTTTTATAGGGCCCACATGAATCATCGTGTACAAGGAAAGTTTCATAATTTTCAGTGAAAAAATTTTACTTTTCTCATTGTTTCATGTTAGAAAGGTTTATTTAGAAGGATTTCTTGTTACAAACTTTATTACTAGCATATATGAATTCTGTGTTTATGTACATCAATCTGAAGAAAAAAGAAAACATCCTAAATTGTCTTGATTTTTATCATTCTGTAAAGCATTTAACTATGATTACCAAGTTGATTTATTAAGAGAAATCAGAAAACTGTCAAGAGTGGTAATTTGATGAATGCTTCACGGCAATTTTATAATCTCAATTTTAAAAATGCACCCATGATGAAAACCATTTACCAACAACCCCAGTAAAATATTCAGGAGAAGTATACTTCTGCGCTAGAAGATGGATTCAGAGCATCCAAAAAGCAGCTTAGGTTAGAGTGTTCAAATACAGCATGGCCTCTTTAAAATGCAGTTTTGCCCTGAAGTTTGCTTAGCATTCTATAAACAACTTCTGTGGCCACAGAGAGGTACCAAAGTGTAAGTCTCTTTAGGGATGAATTGTGGATGAAGCTGCTACAGTACTATTTGTGGAAAAACCTGTGGTATACT